TTACAAAACCCGCCCGTGTTGTCACCGCCAGAGCCGGGGAAACCGTTGATATTGTACCTCTCAGTGACTGAGACCACAATGGGCTGCATGCTCGCACAAGAATCGGAGGATAAGGTGGAGAGGGCCATCTACTATCTGAGCAAGAAGATGTTGGACTACGAGACCCGCTACACTCCGCTCGAGAAGGCTTGCTTAGCTTTGGTATGGGCTACCAGGAAGCTGCGGCACTACCTGTTAGCACACTCCGTAATGTTGGTTTCACGACTGGATCCTATTAAATACCTTTTTGAAAAATCGGCACTTACGGGTAGGCTAGCTCGTTGGCTGCTATTGCTCTCCGAATTCGATCTGAAATACGTGACACGCAAGTCAGTCAAAGGAAGAGCAGTGGCGGAGTTCTTGGCCGATCATCCAGTCGAAGAAGGTGAAGCAGTGGAGTACTTGTTCCCAGATGAAGCCATTTTGCACATCGACGATGAATATTGAACGATGTACTTTGACGGAGCATCAAATCAGTACGGATATGGGATAGGGGTGTTGCTGATAGCACCCGACAATTCTCGTATCCCTCTAGCCTTCAAACTCCGGTTCAAAGTCTCGAACAACGAAGCAGAATATAAAGCGTGCATTGCCGGCCTAGAAGCGGCCCTGGAACTAGGGGCAAGACGGTTGGACGTCATCGGGGATTCGAACCTTGTTGTTTCTCAGGCAAACGGAGACTGGAAAGTCAAAGAAGAAAAGATGATGATGTACCACCAGACCTTGGACTTGCTAATTCCTCGATTTGAAAAGCTAAACTTTGCTCATCTTCCAAGAGAGAACAACAGGTTCGCAGATTATCTAGCAACTCTATCTTCCATGATAGGCATCTCGTTTGGAATCCGGATGCGTCCAGTCGTCATTGACCAGAAATTTGTGCCAGCCTACGAGTCGATTGCTGCTATAGATGAGGTTCAGGACCAAAACCCCTGGTATTATGACATTTGGAATTTCTTGGAAAAGGAAGCATACTCGCCAGGGGTAAATGCCATGGATAAGAGGGCAATCAGAAGAATGGCCGTCCAATTCATCATCTGTGGGGGTAAGCTGTATAAAAGAGGTCATCTGGGAATGCACAAGCTGTCTGTTGAAGCCGAGGAATCGAAGCGCCTGATGGAGGCCATCCATGGAGGAGAATGCGGTGCGCATATGAACGGAGTAATGCTAGCACGGAAGATCCTCAGACAGGGTTACTACTGGTCTACCATGGAGGAGGATTGTATTAGTTTTGTTCGGCGATGCCACAAGTGTCAGATTCATGCAAATCGCATGAACATCCCGTCGTCGAAGCTGTACAACATGACTTCGCCATGGCCATTTTCAGTTTGGGGAATCGATGTGATCGGGGCTGTCACTCCGAAAGGGTCGAATGGGCATGAGTTCATCTTGGTTGCGATAGATTATTTCACGAAGTGGGTCGAGGCCCAATCATATGCAGTGTTGAAGGCGTCACACGTTGCAAAGTTTATCAGAAACAACATCATCTGTCGCTACGGGGTCCCAAACGAGATAATCTCAGATAATGGTTCCCACTTCAAAAAAGAAGTGATAGACTTGTTGGAGAAATACAACGTGGCTTTTCATAAGTTATCTACATACCGGCCGCAAACCAACGGAGCGGTCGAGGCCGCCAACAAGAACATCAAGCACATACTGCAGAAGATGGTGGAAACCTACCGAGATTGGCCAGATAAGCTGCCATTTGCTCTGTGGGGGTATAGGACTTCAATCAGAACTTCTACCGGAGCGACTCCGTATTCATTGGTTTATGGGATGGAGGCCGTTCTACCTATCGAGATTGAGGTTCCGTCATTACGAGTATTGGCCGAGTGTCAAATAGCCGAGGCAGATTGGCAGCAGAGCAGGTTTGAGGAACTCATGCTTTTTGACGAGAGAAGACTGAAAGCACTGTACCATATTCAAGGCTATCAACGCAGAATTGCTCGGGCTTTCAACAAGAAGGCTAAGTCCAGGAATCTAAAAGAAGGAGATTTGGTGCTCAAGGACAACCGAGCTCCTATCCACGACCCAAGGGGCAAGTTCAAACCCAATTGGACTGGTCCCTACATCATCAAAGCTATCTGGTCAGGTGGAACTGTGGTTTTGATGGATCTAGATGGCCTAGAGTTCTCCCAACCAATCAATATGGACAAGTTGAAGAAACACTACCCCTGAGAGGCTCGCTAGGCTGAAAACCCAAAAGGGCGACCTAGGCAAAAGTTAGAGCACAAAAAAAAATTAGAAAATATAAAAACTGAGCTCGCAAGGTTGAAAACCCGCAAAGGGCGACCTTGGCAAAAGTTAGAGCGCAAAAGGAGAGTGAAAATACTCGAGTGAACCTAAGCCTGAACTACGTAAGGCTTGATTCCCATCTTTAGGATACGTAGGCAACTTCACCTTGAAGTTCAGCCATAAACTTTTCCCCGATCAACTTTGTCCATTTTGACCATCTCTGTCATCTTTATCCATTAGCTTTTATCGCGATCTCCGGTGCAGTGCTATTCAGACTAGGGGCAACTTTCCGTTGCCATGCAGTGCCGCAGTACTCTTCAAACTAGGGGCAACTTTCCAGTTGCAGGGATCTGGGGTTGTGCATCTCAGTGACAGATCTTAGGCATGTCCA